AGGGTCCTTAAGGTGATGCAGGATTTGTATCATCAACAGTTCTAGAACCCTTTGGAAGATCCCGTTTTAAAGAAATATTAAGCCCTTCTAGTAGCCCTTAGAGTACAGTAATCTTTTTAATCCTTATAGAACTTTTGAAAGAAGCCCATGAGCCCTTATAGTAGCCCTTAAAGCAATCCTTGTAGAACTCTTTGGAAGATCCCTTTTAAAGAAGTTATAGTAGCCCTTAAAGTAATCCTTATAGAACCCTTTGGAAGATCCCTTTTTAAAGAAGCTATAGTAGCCTAAACCCTAAACCACCCTATCAATGGGAATTTAAACCTTAAACACTTCGTCGACTAAGGCAAATCCTTCGTTGACTAAGGCAAATCCTTCGTCGACTAAGGCAAATCCTTCGTCGACTCAGGCAAATTCTTCGCAAAATGGCAGATTTTTGCCTTAGTCGACGAAGGATTTGCCTTAGTCGACGAAGCGCTTCGTCGACTAAGGCAAGTCCCTTCGTCGACTAAGGCAAATCCCTTCGTCGACTAAGGCAAATCCTTCGTAGACTAAGGCAAATCCTTCGTCGACTAAGGCAAATCTCCAGGGCTAGGGGTCTAGGGCTTAGGGCTCAGGGTCTAAGGTTTAGGGCTGAGGGTCTAGGGTTTAGGGCTTAGGGTCTAGGGTTTAGGGCTTAGGGTGTAGGGTTTAGGGCTGAGGGCTAACGGTCTAGGGTTTAGATCGAGAAGACCCGCACATCCGCGCTCGTTTCCTCTCACCCAGTGAGTCACAGAGTGTTGCAGTGCAAAAAAATAGTGCCTCGTCTAACTGCACACTTTCAACATCCATTGTTTTGCAACACAGAGTCGCGAATCGCAGCTTCGACCGCTCACATGATAGCCGTCATCTTGAATCACTCCTTGGTTTCGGCTCGTATGCGCAGTCTCTCGAGATCTTGAGTCATGCTTCACGCAAGCGGGCAACTACCGGACACAGTGCATAACATCGAGGGTTGGCATTTTGCGCGATGATGCTAATCCTGCTTCTGTTCGTCTTGACGATGGTCGGCACTAAGAACTGCTCAAGGACCAGCTCGTCTCCTTCACACGTGGTCCGAACCCGTCCTTTAAAGCATTCTCAGGTGCTTCGACGCCGTTGGATTGCACAAGCCTCCGCACTGTGACAAACTTCCACCAGGAATTTCTTACAGTCGCAACGAGCGTTTGCGAAGCATGGGAGGGTTTAGCGTAGCATCTCGCAAGGCACACAAAGAGTGGGAACGATTCTTGAGCGCGTGGCGCACAGAACACGAATACATGCGCGGGCGATTCGCATCCTGGTAGTCCATGACATCGTCAGGTTGGCATCGAAAGTGTGGAGGCCGTCGTCTGTGCAGAGGGAGTGCCATGCATGGCGTAAGCCCGCAATCAACCGTAGAACTTTCTGCTTGACTCAAAAGGTCACAGCGTTGCTGAGCTGGCTGCAAGCAGGTTCTGCTGCATGTAAATCGCGTGGCTCGACGATACGAGTCTCCAAGCTTTCAGACACGGTGATATCATGCCTTTGTTGTGTGTCACGCCCTGACTCCGGCAGTCCGGCGTGCAGCAGCCTGCCCGAGCGGAAGCCTTATCACTGCGATTTAACCAAGACTGCTCTGTTAGGCCTGTCTCTTTTGGATCTTCTCTGAGACTAGCCCGCGGCTTCATGACAGATCCTACTTCGCACGGAAAACTGAGGCCGGAAAAGCGGCCATTAAGCGCACGAAGGCCCATAATACGTGGAGCTGCTAGCTCATCCAAAACCGCTCGCCCTGTGCTATGCACATGTCTTACATTTCTGCTGAACCTGCAGGTTCCTGACCGAACACGGGTGACCCGGCAGGCAGTTTGTTTGAGTGCTTGTTTCTCGGTTTGACACGCTGACATGCAGCCCAGAACCCAAACCATCAGGGTCAACGACGCCAGTATTGCCTCGGTTTTCGGGCATGGCGCCCAAGTATCTGTTAGATCCCTCCGCCTTGGTCGTCTTTGCCATTGAGGTTGCGCGACACTGGCGGGCAGATGTCACGCACTCGGTGCACGGTTCGCAACATATGGCACAGCTGTTCGACGATCATCGGAACTGGCTGTAGTCTCATGCACTAGGACCCAACCGTGTAGAGAGAGACTTCCAAGCGGTCGCCACGCTTCAGGTGATCGGCTACTTTGCTGCGACAAAGTACGAGGCGACGCCTGCGTCAACCATCAGTAAATCCATCGATTCAGTTCGAGGTCCTGGCCGAGTTGGCAGCAGTGCGAAGCGAAGAAATTGCGGCGGCGTTCGAAGCCGCGCGCATTCCAGGCAGGCTGGCCGTTAAGTTCTTCCGAAACAACCACATGAAGCTCAGGGTCGGAATATTACTCCGACGGATGCCATCTGAATGCGCGCGGCATCCGAGCAATCGTGATCAAATACTTGCCGGCCCTCGCGAAGGCCTCGCTCGACTGACGAAACACTATTATTCCAGAAAGAAGCTCTCGAAACTCAGGAAGCGGACACAGTCATCTCGGATTCCGCACTTTGCGCCGTAGCCACTGCCAAGGCAAGATTCGGTTCTCAAATAAAAAACATGGGAGAGCGATATCGCCAGGAGGACCAATGGTGGGGGGGCGATTTGGGCGCCCTGGCTGCTTTCCTTCTCGACCTGCCGGTTCACCCGGCTTGGGGGAAGGGATTCAGCTCGGGCGGCTTCAATCGCCACCTCTGGAACCTCTTGCAGCCGCTGGAAGAGATGGCCCCACGGCTTCGCAGCTCTTGGTAACCTTCAAACAAAAATATCGCGGAGGAGAGAGGGGTCCTTCTCCTTGTGGCAGGCAGGCACCGTCAACACTATGCACAGGCAACGATTGCACGAACCGGTACTGCAACTCGAAGCATCTGCGCTATGAGGTGCAGAAGATGATTGAGGCATCGGGCACCGAATTGTAACCATCCGCCGAAACATCCATCGCAGGACTACGCACAGGCGAAGGTTCGGTTGGTGATCGCGGACGCCGTGCCACTGAGCTACATCGAGGCTGCTGTTCGTCGCAGCAAATCGCAGTGCATCGCGAACGATGACCTTGCGACTTGGCGAGGAGACCTAAGAGGACACCTACAGGTTGGCCTGCAGCTTAGCGGCCGGTAGCGAGTGGCTTGCCCTCTTGGGCATGTACCGCTGCTGCGCTGGTCGCCTGGCTAGGCAGACCTGGTCGCATCGAAGATGTCCGGAGCTTAGCGGCCGAAATAAGTCTCCGCCAATAGCTTTCGGTCAAGGATCCAGCAGCTGTGAGCGCAACCCTTCGAACGAGCGCCTGGTCTGCCGCAAAAAGCGTCAGCAACACCTGCACAGCTGAGCTTGACAACTGAACCATGCACATGCCACATTCAGTTTCGACGAATAAACCCACCGGCCATATCGTCGGCTCAATCGAACAGAGTGCCGGAAGCTGAGCATAGACCAGCCGGTCTACTCGAAAGATACCAAATCGTCCGAACCTCAGCGCGCGTGAGCAAATTCCGGAATCTCGGGCGTTGCTCGGATCTCGCGTCATCGTGGTGGGACACTCAGCACGCTCCTTCTTTTTCGTGGAGTTTGGTTCTTTTCACACATAACTTTACCCTACACAGTGGGTTGAAACTAGTTATGTTAGTTGTAAGTCCACTTGTATGTGGCATAAGATCTCTTATAAGTCCTCTTATGGAGGTTAAGAGATCTTATAAGTGGCGTACGTAAGGTAGGTTAAAGACACACCTAGGACACTTGTAAAGGCAGTTGGAAGTTGGCTAAGTGTATCATGCTAAGTAGCATAACTGGGCTAAGAAAGTATATGCTACTTAGCTTTCTAGTTATGCTACTTAGCTGCCCAGTTAGCTTCTAGTTAGGTTTTCCTTTCAAAATGTGTGCGATAACATGTTGAGGCTTCATGGCAGAATGCTGCACATTAACATGAGTATAGGTAGCATTTGATTCAAATTGTTGTCATCCTGGAAAGTTGGATAATGAAATCCATGCGTTTCAAATTTCCAGTCAAGGCGTTTAGTAATTTCATAGCCTTGTCATGTAGATCTGATGTCTATGTATGTATCTACATACAAACATATGTATATATATATATATATATGTACTATCTCGTCAAGATATGTTAGGGTTTTATGTTTTAGGGCTTTAAAGCTTTGGGGCTTTTCTGTCTGCGTAAATTTTGCCGGCATACATATTATAAACGTAGAGACTGTCGTTTTAGTTTATGATGTCCGGCCATGCTCCGAAATTTTCTACGTGGACCTGAGGGTTTGGGAGTATCTGCTGTTCAGGTTTCCTGCAAGGTGTCGTCTAGTCTTGCGTATCGTCAAAAGCCATCCTGAGGGCACAGACTGTGGACCTTTCAATAGACGATGTTAGCGTTCATATATGGTTCCTGTAAAGATATTTTTTGAGGTAAAAACCTATCCGAAAGCAATCTTCCAGAGAACCCTCTAATGGACCTATCTAGCGTCTCAGTATACAGTATGAGGCAACATGGTATCGAGCCTCATAGAACAGGTATCGGCGCTCATATCTGCTGTACGTTTTCATTTCAAGTGAGACAGTTTCCGGGCCCTACGTCTCCTAAAGCAGTCTGCATGGAAGCCTTCATGGACGTATCCGGTGCTGCCCAAGGATCCAGTAGGCCTTCAAGTCTACTATCTTGACGACCCCCAGAAGCACTCAAAACCTGTCTCGATTCCAAACTGGCCGATTCAATTTTCCGGCAGGCAGCGGCCACAGTTCACCACACTAGACTACATTAGAATCGCCGGAGTGCAGAGGCCCCCCCCAATTGCTCACACTAGAATCCAATCTGTAGAGAGTCACAGGGATTGCTCACACTAGAATCCCTGGAAGCAGCCAGGCGGCAGCCCAGTTCACTACACTAGAATCCACTTGAATCCAAACGACGCCCGCGACCAGGCCTCAAGCAGCTCAGCAGCTCCTTCGGTTCCCTCCCGCCTCGCAGTCATGCATGGCCGAGAGCAAGTGCTGCGCCAAGTGCAGCCAGCACTTCCCGGAGAGTGCCCTTGTGCAGAAGAGCGCGAACTACCACCTCTGTCCGCTTTGCAACCGCCTCACAGCGTACCTCGCCCGGCTCGAGATCCCTAGCGCCTTCAACACACTCAGCGACACCGAGGTTGCCAGCTTCTACGTCGGAGCCAGAGACACAGTGAAGTGTGCCGGCAACGCTCACGTCGTGACCTCACCTGTTCCTGGCATCGTCGCAGATTGCCGTCAAGTAGAGAACGGAGATTACTACATCTTCGTGCAGCCCTATGACCGGGCACCTGGCTTTGGGTCGACCGTAAAGGGCGAGCTGTGGACACTAACCGCTGCAGCCAAGCCGGTGCCGGTGCGCTTCAGGAGCAGGCAACCCGTTCTCTGTGCTTCGTTCTGGAGCTTCGACGACAATGGTCTGCTGGTGTTGCCCTAAAAGGCCGCATACTGAAGACAAGGTGTAGTGGTCCCGGCGGTTCTTCTGGGCTCGCTGGAACTGCTCAAGCGGTTTAGGATTCATAGACACTTGTTTTCGCAGATTTTGCCTTCATCTTAGCGGAAATGGCGTATACGAAAATGTGTCTTGGATTCTGTATCCCTGCCACTGTCCAAGCACTACAGGCCAGATGCCTGCATTAAAAATAGCAAGGAGCGAATACGGCGAACCCTGTAATCCGGCATCGCTCACTGCAAAATCCCGTGTCACCTTTAAATTGAACGCTCTCATGTCGGAAGATGACCGTTCCGTGTGCTAGACCTGAAACGGCATTTCTAGTTAACTTCTAATTAACTTCTACTTATGCTACTTAGCTTTCTACTTATGCTACTTGCCTAGCCTAGTTATAAGTAAGTTGCAACTGCATTATCATAACTAGCATAAGTCCTCTTATAAGTGGACTTATCACTTGCTAACTAGCATAACTAATTTCAACCCACTGTGTAAACCCTAGACCCTATATTTCCGACTCATGTAATATGATTACGTGTGTCTTTCTGCCTGGATGCACAGCAACTTCACTGCGGAGTATTCCTTGCCAGAACCAGCGCCGGAGCCTCGTGGTGTAGCACTTCCACCAAGGAAACGAGTTCTGCAAGCAGTCTTAAAGAGCTTCCGGCTTAAGAAGCGGCAACGAAGATAGGCAAGACACCTTCTGACCATTGCTGAGAAATAAATCACGCAGTCCCATCGAGGCGATCCGAGCGAGAGCTGCGACCGCCAACCGTCACGCAACTGCGTGTGTGCCGACCGCAGGCGATGTAATCTTCATGAATCCGGCTGAAAGCTTCCCTAGGATCGGCTGGGGACCATAAGGCACCATCTGCAAGGTCTGGCGATCCTTGCGTGATTTTATTGTGTTTCAGTTGCACGGCAGGAGCAGCGACCAGCTTCTGATGTGCTCGGGTGAATGCCACGGATGTTATATTTACTGTTCTATCATGATACATATTGCAAAGTTAGCACCGAATGTTTTTTGCATACGTGGCTGCACATCACCATCGAAACGAGTGTATCCGCATCCATGCCATTCCCGATGAGAAAAAATCATGCACATTGTAGTGGATGCACCGGTTGCCGAAGTGAAGATTTTGAGTCGCAACAAATGGCGGCGAGGCCGATTGGCGATGCAGCTTCCGGCTCAAGCAAGCAATTTGCAGTCAACGAGACTCTCCTCGTGTAGCTCTTCTTGCGACGTCCCGCTCCATGCTCAGCTAGACAATTCACGGAATCTCTTGGGTTGCTGCGGTAGCACCATCGAAACCCACGCAACGTTCCGAGGACATGAGCGGCCTCGCCAAGTACGAGGTTCGCTTTCCTGCAAGACGTTACAGCTTGCGCGAGCGCCTACCTGCAGATCATCGCTGCCGCAGCGGAGATCAGGGTGGAGGAGATGGCAGACATTCTCGAAGCTGCCCGCGTGCCACGGGTTGTCAAACCGCGCAGCATGCAAGAGATGTCGTTAGAACGGGGCCACGAGTTCTACACGGACTCGTGGCACTTGAGCGACGCGGGCATGCGAGTGTTCTGCCCACTCGTGGCGGAGATGGCAGAGGCACGGTCGTGCGACACTTTGAAGAATGCAGTCACTTACCCTTTCTCGTCGTCATCTCCGACTCCACCCTCTGCACGGTCTTTAAGACCAAGGCCTACAGATCCGAAACACAAGGCCGTTGTATTCTAATCGGACGCCGAAGCGCCGTGGTGGCGACCACGGCCGCCTCGCCGACTCCTAGGACTTAGGGTCTAAGGTTTAGGGCTGGATCTTGGGTTTAAGGCTTAGGGTCTAGGGTTTAGGGCTAAGGGTCTTGGGTTTAGGGCTTAGTGTCTAGGGTTTAGGGCGAAGGGTCTCGGGTTAGGGCTAAGGGTCTAGGGTTTAGGGCTAAGGGTCTAGGGTTTAGGGCCAAGGGTCTAGGGTTTAGGGCTTAGGGTCTAGGGGCCAGGGCCCCCAATAAGCGAACCAAATTCTGCAAGAGGTTTTCCTTTGCACGCCCCAATAAGCGAAACAACTCTGCAACAGGTTTTCCTTCCTAACGCCCCAATAAGCGAAATAATTCTGCAAGAGATTTCCATTCCGAACGCCCCAATAAGCGAAACAGTTTTGCAAGAGGTTTTCCTTTTCCCGCCCCAATAAGCGAAACAATTCTGCAACAGGTTTTCCTTCCTAACGCCCCATTAAGCGAAACAATCGGCTAACAAATCCATTCCTAAGTGTAGGTGCAACAACGCAAACATCGTTTACCACATCCGTTCCCAAGTAAGTGCCACCAACAATCGGTTAACAAATCCATTCACACGATGCATCAATTCAAACAACGATAAACCTATCGATGCCTAAGTGCATGTGCAACAACACGGACATCGGTTAACAAATCCATTCCCAAGTTAGAGCCACCAACAATCGGTTTAACAAATCCCTTCCTAAGTGTAGGTGCAACAACGCAAACATTGACTGCAAAATGGACAACAAAGGACAGTGACAGAATGGGGCTATTATTTTCTGAGAAAGCTAAGCTGTCAGGGCCTTTGCTGCAAAATGGACAGCTAAGGACATTAACAAAATGAAGCTATTATTGTCTCAGAAAGCTAAGTTGTCCTAGCCTTTAATGCAAAATGAACAACAAAGGACATTCACAAAATGGGGCTATGATTATCTCAGCAAGCTAAGCTGCTCACGCATGGTGTTTCGCTTAGTGGTAGTGCAGAACATGTGTCTGTTGTGTAGTTTCTGCAACCTTTTGGTGTATATTCATAAAGCGATTACGCAGTGAAAAACACTCTGAAGCGTGGTTTAGTTTTAAGTTAACGATATTGATGTTGTGCTAACGTTCGGTGATAGGAGTTTTAAGCTGTGAATGAATTTTGAATTGTGTATTTTCTTAATGTTATGGGATCCAAAGGGTGGGTGGGTTTCATTTCTCAACCGTAAACACAACTCTACTTTAAAACTGCTCGAACCGGAGCTGCTGAACCCTAAACCCCTAAACCCCTAAACCCCTAAACCCTAAACCCAAAACCCTAAACCCTGAACCCTAAAACGCTAAACCCTAAACCCTGAACCCTAAACCCCTAAACCCTAAACTCTAAACCTTTTTCAAGAAGCCCATGTGGGTGTACGGGCAGCGTGCAGCGTGTTGTATCCCAGGCCAGAGGTCTGGGCTGCCACATGGCCAAACGTAGTGCAGAACCTGGCCGGCAGTTTGGGGTTTAGGGAATTTGGGGTTTAGGGTTTGGGGTTTAGGGTATAGGGTTTAGGGTTTAGGTTGGGGGTCTTACTCATAAGAATAGGATTGCTCTAAACGGTTCTGCAAAGCTTCTATAGGTTTCTTAAATTTAGGCGTTTGGAGAATAACACCTAGAGCTAAATTCATGACACGTTCGTGATCTAGGCGTGTGCAGGAAGAAGAGGTGAAATTGAGGGTCCAAGGTTGGACGATTTGGGGATTAGGGTCTATGAGGGTTCCAGAGAGGTTCTACAATCAGGCCGTTTAGGGTTAGAAGAGGATTATATGGCTATACCGTACTTCACCATAAAGCATAGATCTGATTCCCAAGGCCCTTATTTCATGCTTCTGGCTCTTGGGGTTTGATTTAAGGTCCGTAGTTTTGGTTTTCGTGCCAGAGTGTACGCAAGTGTTTGGGGTTCAGGCTAGGCCGCAATAGAGATGGGAACGATGTCACTGTTGTAATTACCATGTTCCTACTTCGAGACGAAGCGCTTTAGGATCCAGGGTCCAGGGTGTACCCTAAACCCTAAGCCCTTAACCCCTTTGCCCTTCCTCTTAACCCTGCTGAAGCTATTGAGACCCGGGGTAGTTATATAAGTGGGGTTCTAAGTCCCTTAATTAGGGTTATAAGTATAGTTCCCCCAGTTATATCCCTATTTATAACTACCCTAAGCCCTAAATCCTAAACCCTATAATCCTTTTGACCCCTTCAAAGGAACCCTGCTTACAACCACCCATGAACCTCCAAGTATACATACGGTAATGTCCTGCCCTCAGTCATCCGAGCTGAGGATGGTGGTGTTCTCGGTCTTCGGCGGGACTGGAACAACCTTGCAGCTCTGCTGGCAGGGCTTCGTAGGCCGGCTGACGGGGGAAAATGCTGTCAGCTCGAGGATTCTTAGTCACGACAGCCGCAGCGCACTACTAAGATACAGACAGTGAAGCAGAAATATTCGTGATCTTGGCCATAGGAAAGGCCTGCCCGATTTATGATAATAGGAGATGGCCTGCTTAGTGATGCTAGACCCGCTAGATGCATCAGCAGAGACAAACAGATATTAGCGCAATTGTAATGACAGCAGTTACAGTAGTAATCGTGTTGATCATGAATTTGTCGCAGCAGTACTAGCAGCCAGATCGCATTGCTGGAATTATTGGCGGCAAGGGCAAAGCACAAGCAATGCCAGCAACAGGGTCGGCATCTACGTGATAGCGACCATAGTGTTCGCATTGAAGTTGGCAACACTCGTGTTAGCAGCAATGGCAACATACCATATCCAAAAGCAGTCCTAGCAGTCGAAACATTCTTCATCCCTGTACTTATAGCATTACATAGCGCATCACATAGCAGGGTCAGCAGTGCTGGTTCCTTCAGTCGCAGGACGGTCTTTGGGTTGAAGCAGCTTCAGTGTCAGTCATCATAAGCATTAATGACTTAGTCTTCCTGTGGCTATTGAATCCCAAATTCCAAGTCCTAGTTCCCCCTTCTCTGCACTCAACGCTCTGCTAAGGCCCAAACGGCCAAAAGAAGCCTCAAGTGCGCAACGCTTTATGCCCAAGTCTTCGATAAAACAAAGAGGATCCCGAAACTGAACTTCGAACACCAATCCCAAGCCGAACCTTGAACAAACCCAAACCGAACCAGGGACCACGTGTGCCTGTGGCGGGCTCAGTGCCGGATGGCTGTGACCGGTGGGGATTAACCTAATGTAGTACCCTAACAGTAGGATCCTTATTGTAAGAACCCCAAATAAGGCTAACATAACACCTTAAAAAGTAGGATCCTTATGATAAGAACCCCCAAAATAAGGTTCCCCCCTATTTTGCTAAGCCCTGAACCCTGAACCCCATTTTTCGGAAGCTCCCATTTGAATATTCGGGGTTTTGGAGATCTCGGTCTTGGCGGGTTCTCGCAGGAGCCTTTGATTGGGGTTACGGGGTGTTCTCGATTTGGGTTCGACGTCTGAGGTTGGCGGTTTAGGGGAGTTTAGGAATCAGAGTTGCGAATGGTTGCGCGATTCAGGGCTGCGAGGTCTCAAGGAAGTTCGGTGCATGAGGGGCTTTGAGGGCCCGAAACCCTAAACGGTCGCGTCCCTGCGTTTGGGCCTGCTACTCTGATCCACTGCAAGGGTTTCAGGTGTCGGGAGATTATTCCCCCAATAGAACCCTTATAGTAACCCTTAAAGGAACCGCAGGATCCCTATTTGGGTACATGGACCTATTAGGGGATGGGCTCCGAGGCTTGAGGGAGATTAGAGTTCTCAAACCCTAAAGGGAATGGGGCTCCTTTAAAGGGATCTATAGGGGTTTAGGGTTCCTTTAAGGGGATACTTTTGGTTAAAGGGAACTCCAGAAAGTCCTAAAGCCCTACTATAGGGGCCTAAATCATTACCAATACTATTCTGGGGGTTCCTTATTATTATATTTATAGCATAATGGGCCCCGAAACCTTATTCTAATTCTTAAGACCCCTATAAAGCGAACTCCAGAAAGTTGGAATATGGTTTCGGGGTAGGATACCCTATAGTTTACCATAACGGGTTTAGGATAATGATATCCCAACTTTCTGGCTTTTACCTTAAACCCTAAACCCTATTGCCATGGCTCGTGGGTTTCAGGATTCGGAGTTTGCAGAGAGTAGCCCTCCTGGATGGGAAGGTGTAGCTGACCTGCATTTCTTTAAAGCAGCGAGACATGGGTAGTTCTCTAAACTAGGGTCCCTCTTTTTTGGAACCCCAAATAATACGGCACTCTTCTAAAGAGGATCCTACAAGGTACCTCAATCCAGAGAGCTACCCAGACCCTAAACCCTAAACCCTAAACCCTAAGCCCTAAACCCTAAACCCTAAACCCTAAACCTTAAACCCTAAACCCTAAACCGTGATGCCAGGTTTGAATGTCTTCTTCATGTCCTTGGCTTTCCCATATGGGGCAAAGGCCTGCAAAGCATGATCCGCTGCGGCATGATCCGTTTTGCATGTGCGCAGTGTGCATGTGCATCTCCTGTTTGTGTGTGTGTATGTATGTATGTATATATATATATATATATGTATCTGTACAACACTGAATTCACGCGCACCCACACAGATACAAGCACATATATGCATATATGTATTCACATACATATCTCCTATATATGTATACATATATGTATGTGTATATATATATATATATGGTGTGTGTGTGTGTGTGTGCATGTACTTGCGTATGTATGCCTCCTCTGTCTATGTACAAGACGATTTGTGCGTCGCTTGCTTGCTTGCTTGCTTGCTTGCTTGCTTGCTTGCGTGTGTGTGTGTGTGTGTATGTGTGTGTGAGAGTCTTGATTGTAGTAAGCTGAAGGTTGCTGGAAGATGCATATTTCATCGACAACTAGGGGGCTGGACATGTGCAGCCCAGCGAAGGGGGCCTTTGCGCAGCTGATATTTTTGGGAGACGTCCTGCGAATGTACCTGCTTTTTCCATTGCCAGGCAACCAGGCTGAGAAAAGGACTGGAAACTTTCGTCTTTGGTCTTTGAGCTGACACAGGTGTTCCAAGGGATCCTGAGGTTTTCGATGAATTGCCAAGGTTTGGAAGCATGGAAGTAGTGGCGGAAGCCTATATATATATATATGTATGTATGTATGTATGTATGTATATATATATATATATATATATATGTATATATATATATATATCGAGTATTCTTCCACCGTTCTCTGTGTGTGTCTGCGCGGGTGCTTATTTATTTGTCACATCCGCACGTCGTTTTCTATTCTTTCGTGCAAACCGCTTGACATTACTATGCCCTTTCTGTTTAGATTCGCTTTGATCTGAGTTTGAATCTTCACGAGCCCTCAAAAATGAATTGTCATTCCTCCTGGACTACTCCCCAGTGCACACCCGGTCCCTGAGAAGATCCGATCCTTGTGCTGAACAGGCCCACGAGTGTACCGCCGCTGAAGCAGCTGCGGAAGAATGCCGAGAAGGCACAGCCATTCACTGCGTCGTGCGGGTGGTGGTGATAGTGGTGGTGGTGCTGGTGTTGGCGGTGGTGTAGTAGTCCTCGTCGTGGTGGTGACCAGTGGTGGTGGTGGTGGTGCAGGAGGAGGAGGAGGAGGTTGAGGAAGAGGAGGTTGAGGAGGTTGAGGAGGTGGAGGTGGTTGGCCGTGGTAGTAAGTAGTAGTCGTCGTCGTAGCAGGAGCAGGAGCAGGAGCAGGAGCAGGAGTAGGAGTAGGAGTAGGAGTAGGAGTAGGAGTAGGAGTAGGAGTAGGAGTAGGAGTAGTGGTAGTATTAGTAGCAGCAGTAGTAGTAGCAATTGTAGCAGTAGTGGTAGTAGTAGGAGTAGTGGTAGCGGAAGAAGAAAGAAATAAACAGCAACAAGCAAGAACAGTAATAGTAATCGTAGGATTAATGTTAATACTAGCATTAACAGAAATAGACGAAAGCTCCTATTACTGGTTCTTTTCTATACTGCTTGCATCAGTTTCTCTACAGCCCTAAACCCTAAACCCGAAACCCTAAACCCCTGAACCCTAAACCCCTAAACCCTAAACCCCTAAACCCTAAACCCCTAAACCCTAAACCCCTAAACCCTAAACCCTAAACGTGACGGTGCAAGGCGAGCTGGTCTACAAATCTCCGGGCTATGCGGCATGGATCGGATGGTTGGACACCCTCGGTGTGCTGTTCTTGTTCCTTGACAGCTTTGCCAGAGACTGCTTCGTAGAAAGATACACATGATATCAAAGCGCGGTGATACAAGGCTGCCTGTACAGTTTGCCCGTGTTGCTCTCACCACTTTTCATTACTGTCGTTGTGGCGAACAGAATCACCACCAGCGTCATCAGCGTCATGATGATTATCATCATCACCGCCCCCATCCCGATCCGTATTGTCACCATCATCACTGTTACCATCGCCGGCATCATCAAAGCAACAGTTTCTTCTCGTACCTCATAGCATCAGGCTTTCGCAATCTGGCATGCACGCGCTTGTCAGAATCATTGTCATATTGGTATCAGCTATGCCATAAGCTGGGCGAAGATGACGATGTGGGGGGAAGAGACTTTGATTCTATTCAGGCTTCTGCTCTTGGCTATGCTGGTTGATGCATTCAGGTTCATGATGTCCAACTCGCAGATCAACACCATCAAATTTGGCAGCAGCCTTAGATCATCGAGGCGCCCCACACGTTCTGTTCTGCTGAGACCCAGAGCTTTCCCTATGATTTCAAACTTTGTTCCTCAACCCAAGGCCCAAACAACCCACGGCTTTCGAGGTATGTCCTGGCATTTCTACTTTATGATGGACTTCATCGATCCGAACGACGGCCGAGACCTGTGCCCGGAGTCGGAGCTGGTTTTCGGCAGCATGGTCTGCGTGACTGAGCCGCTTGCTGGCATTTCGCAAAATAATGTTCTTCTCTAGGGTATGTATGTGTATGTATGTGTATGTATGTGTATGTATGTGTATGTATGTGTATGTATGTGTATGTATGTGTATGTATGTGTATGTATGTATGTATGTATGTATGTGTGTATGTATGTATGTATGTATGTATGTGTGTGTGTATGTATATATATACACACATATATATATATATATATATATATATATGGATATATATACATGTATAGATAGCGCTGAGTGCTTAGGGTTTAGGATTGATCGTGCCAGACTTGTAGGTTGTGAGCGTGGGAATCTTATCGTTACTGAGTGGGCGCAGTATCCAAAGTATATATTTCCTTACAGTTTAAATCCTTACATTCAAAAACAGAAGCCCAAAGACATATTCTTATTGTTGATGCCCGTGCATTTAGTACCACGATTTTGGGGCGGCTTGAAAGGGTTTCAGGGCTTCTTGCCCTTGAAAGAGTTCAAGTTAAAGACTGTAGCGGTCGAGGTATGAGGGTTCAGGGCCATGTTTCAACCGTCTCCCAAACTGTTGCAGAAATGAAAAGAACGGTGGCATGCCGCACTTGCGTGTGATTCGATGCTTCCACATCAGGTACTGGTTTGTGGCAGCTTGCTTGCAAGAAAGATTCGATGTTTGGTAGCTTCGGCCCAAATGACCCTAAACCCTAAACCCTAAAACCTAAACCCTAAACCCTAAACATCAGGTACTAGTGACGACAGTGCTTGGCTGCTTTTTTGCTGCACTGGCGACATTCGTGCCGTGCCCGCTCTTCAACTCGAGGCGATGTCCGGTGCAACAGGGCTTCAGGGGTTTCTTAGGAGTACTTAGAAATACTTTGTAATTTTTGGTTATTATAATCCCTAAGAAACAGCTAAAATTATAATTTTTGCTAGGGTTCTGAGTTCAGTATAGGTTTGGGGTTTCCTTGCTTTGCTCTGTTCACCATCGGGTTTAGGGTTTAGGGAGTTCTCCATGTAATTAGGATTTTCTGTGTCGGGTTTACGTCCTGAGCTCGCCATCCTCGCTACGTCAGTAGGTACTTCCTGCGACCCCCATACCGCAAAGTGCAAAATTTCAACAACATACGAGGGCTTGGTAGTAATCGGGGGCTTGAGTAATGAGAAATATCATTCGTCAGGGTTCCGGGTAAAGAACTACATCTAGTATACTGCGTCCTGAGACCTTATTCTCGTTATTTGAGGCCGTAAGCGCGGTTTACGTTTCACATCGTAAGCCTAACGGCCAAAGCCATGCATGAATTTTCGACGAGGCTTGATCTGTCGCTGCTGGGTTTGCAGGGTTTAGGGTTCAGGGCTTAGACGTGAGGATTCTCGTCTGCAGGGTTTCCCAGAAGTAGAGTATGTAACTTTTAACCTTGTTTGGGTGGTATAGTCCCTATAGAATCCCTCTCTAACCGAAAAAGTTAAGCTTTAGTTCCCGATGATACCCGACAAATCCCGATGTTAGGGCTTAGGGAGTTGCTTTCAGGTCACCGGGACGCGGTGAGAAATCCCTCAAAACTTCTCGAGACGCTTCGCTCTCTTCTCAAAATGTCGCGCTGTTGAGGATTCACGCTTAGGGTTTCAGGGCTTCGGGTTTAGGGTTTAGGGTTTGGGTTCAGGGTTTCGGGGTTTAGGGTTTAGGGCTTCGGGTTTAGGGTTTAGGGCTTCGGGTTTAGGGTTTAGGGCTTAGGGTTTAGGGCTTTATACGGAGACTTCACAGATGGTCCATGGTTTCGGTGCGTGCGAGGTGAAGGACACAGCTGGCTTGGGCATCCGGGAGCCCGGCCTTTGGAGGAAGATGCTACGAAGGAATATGGGGGCCTTAATAAATACCAAAATTGGTTTGGGGGTTCCTAATTATAAGAATTAGTACTATTTTCGTCATAGTATAATATATATACCCCCCCCCAAAACCCTATTCTAATTATTAAGGCCCCTACATTATGTGCCAAAAGTGGGAACCAGAGAAGGACGAGAGGACGCACAGGAACGAAGCAGAGACGTCAGGTTCATCTTACATGCGACGCCACCAGGGAAAAGACCCAAGATCCTCCTCCCGACGCACCCAGGATTCCTTTCAGTAGCCCATATGGGAGTTTCCGAGAATAAGGGGTACCTTCTCTGGTGTCCTTCTAATAAGGATCCCACAATTTAGGGTACTACATTAGGGTCGGCCCTTTATTTCGGAAACTCCCATATTGTACCCTTACAGAAATCCACTAAGCCCTAAACCCGAAGCCCTAAATTCGTCATAGTAGCCCCTGCTGTACCGTTTTTGTAAAATCCCTCCTCCACAAACCCAAAGCCCTCCTCGGAACCCTTCTTTTCCTAGGGGCCTACATAATTGCCAATACTATTTTTGGGGGGTTCCTTCTTGTGAATATCAAATAACGGGCCCCCAAACCCTATTCTAACTACCTAGGCCATTGTATTAAAGTACCTTTACAGATCCCTTATAGTAACCCAAATAGACCCCTTGTAAAGGAGCCCCATTCTGTTTATTAAGGCCCCTACATAGATCCCTTATAGAACCCTAAAAGGAGCCCTTGTATAGACCCCTTCAGCGGAGCCCCGGAGCCCTAGTCTACTTTTTAAGGCCCCTCTACTACATCGAAAAGACCAGGAACCTTATCCTAAATATTGAGGTACCTATAGTACCCGTATAGATCCTTAAAGCATCCCTTTTAAGGAGCCCCCTAAACCTTCTTGTAACTATTGCAGGCCCTTTAGTATTTTCCTTTGCTCTCCTATGCCAGGAAAGCCTTCCAAGACATGATATCCACGATGGGCACCGTTAGCAAGATCTGGAGCCTTGGGAAAGAGAGCTTAAGAGGGGGATCAAGGGATTAGGGGCTTAGGGGTTCAGGGTTTAGGGCTTAGGGCATAGATGTCGATGCCAGATACTACTTTCAACAAGGGCACCAAGACCTTCACTTCCAGCCCTGCGGCCCAAGCCCCTCCACAACAAGTGCGTATTAGATCTCAACTGCTTACGGTTTTAGATTTTTGGAGTTCAGTGCTCTGTATCCGGGGGTCACCGGCTTCTGGTGGAAACCGAGTTCTCAATCCAAATGCGAGGTGGGAATGTAGACCTTGGGTACGGCCCCCACTCAGTAATAGTTGAGTGATATTCATAGTATAGATATATTAGGACCTTAGTAGTAGCCCTATGATAGACTCTTACTGTATGGGGGCAGTACCTAATGTAGACCCGAAACCCCCGAGCCTTCATCTCAAGCACCGAGTCCTAAAACGCTAAACCCTAGCTAGTGCTTGCCGACTGCCTGGCGGACATTAAAAAGGAGCTTAAACCCTAAACCCTAAACCCTAAACCCTAAACCCTAAACCCTAAACCCCTAAACCCTAAACCCTAAACCCTAAACCCCTAAACCCTAAACCCTAAACCCTAAACCCTTAAAAAAACCTGAACCCTAAAGCCGAAGCCCTAAAGCCCAGGGAGGAGGCAGTGGAGTACATCTGCGGCACCAGTCGAACGGCCAAGCGCTTCTCGGCGCACAGAAGCTGCCTTTGGGCCATTGAACTCAGGGCTCTTCAGATTTCAGCTATCTTTGGCCTTCGGGGTTGAACCATGAGCAAGACTCTTATTCATAGAGTCGAGGGATCCCTCATTATAAGCAATATATCGGGGTTTTCCCTGTCCTTATCATTCCCGCACTTTTTGTCCTTCGACCAACTTTCTGTCTACAATGCTCTTGGGTTGCAAGGGACGGAAGCTTCTGCGTGCGTTATGGGTTTGCGCTTGTTTATTCATAGGGACCCTTTGTGGCGGGGGGAGGGGGGTAGGGGATTATACTCTCTTAAATAGCCCCCTTCCCTCTACCCCCCTAAGGGTCCTTATGATTTATGGTTTGAGAGGTACGGCACGGTTCAGGATGCTACAGGAAGCGCAGCAGGAAGATCACTTGCCGAGGGTCCAGATGCTGCTACTCCCGAGCCCCAAACTGGATTCTTGTCAAGGAGCTTAGACCAAGTTACCACTGTAGGAATCTATGGTAGATCATAGGGTTTAGGGTTTAAGGTAAGTTACCACTATAGGGATCTATGGTAGATAACAGGGTTCAGGGTTTAGGGTAAGATACCACTACAGGGATTTGTGGTAGATAATAGGGTTTCCTCATTATGGTAACTTAAACTTAAGCTGTTAAACAAAAGCCCAGTACACACCAAGCCCCAAACCCTATGGAGACGATAACACCTTTACCTGCAAGCTTCCCTGCTATGACTCCCGTACAAAACGTAGTGAAAAAAGGCAGGGCTTTTTTGTGAGGGGTCTTAGATCAAGCCTGAACCCCGAAACCCTACTCCTGAAAGCCGCAAGCTTAAACCCTGATCTCACTTGCTTATCTTGTGCCCCTGCAATCTTCAACTGGGCTGACGAACGCTAGGAGCCCTAAGCGCAAAAACACGACTCCGCAGAGTAACTTCTGTAGGAACCCAGTCCCCCCTACAGTACTGAAAGTCCCCCATATAGTAATCCTTTTGGTACCCATGAACCTCAACGCTCAAAAACCTAAACCTTATCTGAATAACCTAGACCGCTAAACCCATAAACCCCTAAACCACTAAACCCTGAAACCTTCAACCCCCGAACCCCAACTCGCCTGAGACCTTCTGCTAGCTGTCGTGCAGGCGGAAAAAGGTTCTGAAGAAAAAGAGCCCTAACTTCTAGATCCACTAGGTATTCCGACTGTAGCAAGAAGGAAAACGGCCCACAAAAAAAGAGATCCATGAGGGCACGCACATTGCCCGAGGATTTCATCTTGAGGCTAAGATCGATGCCATCAGCCAGATGAACCTGAACGTCGCCGCCAACCTTAAGGTCCTCCCTTCCAAGGGTACTTGGAGGTTCATGGGTAGCTATAAGTAGTGTTCCTTTAAAGGGATCTATGGGGTTATAGGGTTTAGGGATTAGGGTTTCGGGTAGCATCAGTAGGGTTTTCACTAGGGTATCTATACTTATTACCCGAATCGGGGGACTTATAACCCTACTTAAAACTACCTCTGAACCTCCAAGTACTCTAGGGTCCTTTTGGTTGAGAGTGATGTCTTGTGGTTTTAGGGTTTTTGGGGTTTGGGGGTTTGGGGGGTGTAGAACTTTCGTCCGACGGCGAGGCCTACTTGAGGTTCAGGGGTAGTTATAAGTGGGGCTATAAGTCCCCTAATTAGGGTTATAAGCTAGTTACCCTAGTTATAACCGTACTTCTAGCTACCCATGAACCTCCAAGTACGCCTTAAACCCTAAACGCTAAATCCTATCTTTTTGCGCCCGACGATCGCAAACCCAATCGCTCCCAGCCAAGCCTCGTTTGGAGGGGAACTGAGAAGTTCGAAATCCGAAGCCTTAAACCCCAAACCTAGAATCCCAACACCCTTGCGTAAGCCCCAGTTCTAGTCATTCTGGGCTCTAATTCTCAAAGAGTCAGCCCTAAAGCCTACATGCAGGCCTTCTCCTGAAAGCCATTAAACCCAAGCCTCAAAGCCCTACTTGGAGGTTCATGGGTAGTTATAAGGGTTCCTTTAAACGGATCTATAGGGATTCTATAAGGGTTTAGGGTTAAGGGTTCATGGGTAGTTAAAAGTAGGGATATAAGTCCCCTACTATGAGCCATAAGTATAGTTACCCTACTTATAACCCCACTTATAACTACCCATGAACTTCCGAGTACAGCCACCCAGAATGAATCGGCCCAAAGCCTCCGCACGCGCAGTCGGCCTGGTGGGAGTCGGCCTTGTTGGCCAGATTCGAACCCCGGCGTCAGATCATGATGCAGTTTCAGAGCAACATCGCGGAGACTTGGCTCCTTTGTGAGTACCGTTAGGGTTACTGTTGCTATTTGGGAGTTTCCAAAAATTCGGGGTACCTTATTTTGGGGTCCTTATAGTAAGGATCCTACTCTTTAGGGTATTATGTTGGGGTCCCCGATTTTCGGGAACTCCCATATCTATCCACTGCAATTACTGTTACCATACTTCTTTATTGATGCAATTGGTGCTAGTCCTTCCTGTTTCGCAGGTTGGGTGAATTTCATTTGCAGTACTACCGGGGCCTAAATAACTACCAATACTATTCTGGGGGTTCCTTATTATATTTATAGTATAATGGGCCCCGAAACCTTATTCTAAGTCTTAAGACCCCTATAGTTTAACCCTGAAAGCCGGCGTCCTAGAGGCTTCTCCGGGCCGAGCGAGCCAAGGCTTTAGTGCTTCGGTTCATAGAGGAGCCCGATCGTTGATCCGGTTGCCCCACCAAGTAACATAAATTATGCTCCTGAGCCAGAACCCCGTTCGCTTGAAGTCTTGAACCAGATGTTCCAAGTCTTCGGTCACCATCTGAGAATTTCCATCCCCCTTCAGGTGCAGTACCCGGGTCTCACGTTCAGACTGGCAACCCTTGACGTCCCAGACCGCGAGTAAACCCCATATCCGCAACGACTTGGTTTGACAGTCGGAGATGTGCCGAGGACATTGTGGACATTCTGCCGGCTGTGAAGTCCTGCGTGGCGGGGTACGCACTAACTTGCGCTGGAACTATACCACCAGGGTTTTGGGTTTGGGGGGGTTTGATGCAGGATTTCGCATTCAGGCTTTGGGTTATCTACAGTAGGTCTTCGGGATTGGTTTCGTAACAACATCAGATCAACAAAGCCTGCGAACCAGAGCTTGCACAGAGAGCCTTCCTCCCGTGTGCCGGAGGTTGTCCGCGTTCATGGCTTTAGCCGAGAGTGGCAGGGTTTTGAAGCGTTTTTGGGCCTTCCACCCTCAACCCCTGAAAGTACTAAGCAGTGGTACGTTCTACGTACCCGAAGCATTGGCCACATGAGTATCAAGCTGCTAAGGTGCTCAATGAAGATTTCACTGGGAAGCATGAGGAGTTCGTCCGACCTCTCCACCCGCAGCTGCAGGAAGTGCATACTCAGAGACTCCAATATGCCTCAATAAAGGAATATTCCTTAAATCAGACTAGGGATCCTACAATAATTTAAGGAATATTCCCTAATTGAGAGATATTGGAGTCTCTGGTACTCCGGGGCGTACTTGTGCAAACCATGCCTCCTTCCCGTGAAGCCTCCACACGATTGGATTCTGGCCCTGAGCTCTAAACCCTGAACCCTCAGTCCCACCCCTGTACACGACCATGGTTCTTGATCCTTTGTTCCTATCGGAATTCAGAGATTCTAGCTCCTGGCTTTCCCAGCCACAGGAAAATCCAAGTTGCTCAATAGCAGCCTCCGTGCCCATACTGAATCCCGCAAAACCGAAACCGGAGGTCAGCTTTTTGGGGAACATCGCACTTGGAGGTTCATGGGTAGTTATAAGTAGGGTTATAAATAGGGTAACTATACATATAACCCTAATTCGGGGACTTATAACCCCACTTATAACTACCCCTGAACCTCCAAGCACCCTCAAACCTCGTAAGCCTTATTTTGAATCATTTGTAGGGAGGTTAAGCATTTTTGAAACAGGCTTGCTTTGAAAAGGCAACTCCACATCTCTAGGCAGTACTGTAGAAGCTTGAAAATTTACCGACATGATTCCTTAGGGTTCCGTAATATGAGTGTGCCATTGTAGACCCACAAAAACTCTCTTGACTCTACGGGCCGCCGATAATCCAGAGCTGGGCGGTTGAGTTATTCTGTGAATGCGACAGCCCTGTCTGCTTTTTGGCCCTCGACCCCGAAACCGCAATCCTTCGACAGTCATCAAAACCCAGGCCGCTAGCAGTAAATCCTAAAGCCTAAAACCCAAAGCTTGCGCAGACGGAAAAGGGCCCATATTGGGTACGGCCCCCACTCAGTAATAGTTGAATTCTATTTATAACATAGATCTATTAGGACCTTCATAGTAGCCCTACTATAGACTCTTACTGTAAGGGGGCCTATAAGGCCCAGAGAACCAAAAAAAACCCAAAAACCCCACGCAGAAGCAGGACAAGGTAAGGAGCGCCGAACGACCGCCTCGAAAAGGGAGCCTCCATGGGAACCCCAAAAACCACCAAAAACCCCCCAAAACCCCCCCAAAAACGCTAAACCCCAAAACCCTAAACCCTAAACCCCAAACCCCTTAAAAAAAAAGAAACCCCAAACCCCAAAACCCTAAAAAAAAAAACCCTAAACCCCAAACCCCAAAACCCTAAAAAAAAAAAAACCCTAAACCCCAAACCCCAAAACCCTAAACCCCAAAGAACTCCACAGTGCTCGCTTCTGAGTTGGTCGTCAGGCCATGGTTCAAGAGGCCACGGCTCTCACGGAACTTTGCCTTAGCCGCGCGCTTAGAAGGAGGGCGCTTATTGAGAGAAAGCCGGAGGGGGGGTGAGGGAGTTGGAGGTGGGGGGTGGGGGTGCTCCCGAATTTTTACCGAGAGTGTTCCTCAGGGTTCGACAATACACTGGATACGTATACCATCTGAAACTATTCAGTTATATACCAAATCTTCTACATCAATGCTTCTGGATTGCCCTTGTCGGTCTGCCGACTCCAAGCGAAATTTTAGGGCCAATAAGAGGACTTCAAAGTAATATGGAGGCCTGAATAATTTCCAACATCGGTCTTAGTGCTCCTTACTATACTTATGCCACAATACACACCAAAGTCTTAATCATTCGTGCCCCGTGAGGAGGAGGAGGAGGAGGAGGAGGAGGAGGAGGGGGAGGAGGGATGAAACAGTTGTGACAAACACATACATGCGCCCGAAGGCAGTTGTTACAACCCTCTCAGGGTATCTGCTGGTCACCTGGATGAAAGGCCCTGTTGAGGATGGAACCGTCTACACATCAAGGGACCCGTGGTCTTACTTGCTGACATCACGGCATTCCTCTTCTTCTGCGGGCACTCTGCTAAAGCCCCAGGCCGCAGACGATACACTCACAGCCTGCACCAGATACTGGTCCTTGCGAGGTGCGACCTATGAGAAGCAGATCAATGCAGTTATGTGCCTTCGCTTTTCCTTGGAACTTTCGGCCTTTCGTGCCCGTGGTCCCCAGACGTTGCGTTGGGTTTTCTTCGAAAAGAAGGGGTTCGCACCTCGTTCATGTCTTCTGCGCAGTTTTAGCAGGACGCATGCTAGCGTACTAAGGTTCGAAGCTGGGCTTTGATTGAATCTTACAGTCTTGGTCGGTTTCGCCGCCGTCGTCATCATGCTGAGTCCAACAGGAGGAGGCGGAGCAGGAGGTGGTGGAGGAGGAGGAGGGCTGATCGTGCTGCGGTGCTAATCATGCTACTGGTGGGGGTCGTGGTGGTGACGGCGGCCGGGGTAAGGTCTTCTTGTTCTGGTTGCTGTGAGGGTATTGTACATTCTTGCTGCTTCTATTCTGTTAATCAGCAGTCTGTTTCAGGGGGTTTCTGCGAATCACGTTCGCTGTTCCGAGGAAGTCGGCGATCCTCCAGTCAAAAGATCACATACGGAAGCTGCAGCGGAAGCTGGCCGCATGCCCGGCATTCATGCTTGGAGGTTGATGGGTAGTTATAAGTATAAGTAGGGTTAGAAGTCCCCTAATATGAGTTATAAGCATAGTTACCCTACTTATAGCCCCACTTATAACTACCCAGGAACCTCCAAGTGCAGTTTTCGTCCACTTGAAGGCACGCGCAAAGCCAGGCGTTGACCCTGCAACGATTGAGGCGACAAGAACTCGGAGCAACCCTCGCCGCTCCTAGTTTAGGGTTTAGGGGTTTAGGGTTTAGGGTCCCAACCCCCCTCCCAGCTTTTTCTGCCGGGCATCTAAAGCTTTGATCCCAGGTTTTCGACTACAAAAACTACTGCCCCAAGCCTTCCGACGACCTGGCTGATGATGCTCAGATACAATTCAGGGTATAGGGTTTAAAGCGACGAGTCCTCCCAACACCCCAGAAGCCCGCTGTTCTCCTGTCGCCAGGAGACGATCATGGTCTTCTCCGTGTCTTTCACAGCGCGCAAAGCCGCAGACCTGGCTCAGCGTGTTATCGAGTGGAATGAGGAGGCAGCTACTGGGGTTGAGACTTGACAGTTTAGGCTGTAGCATTTTCTAGGATGGCGTAGGGTCTTGAGGATGTTGAGACAGGTTTGGCGTGTGAGCTTCATCCATGTCTCTGATCCCAACCAACCCTATCGGGAGGACACGAAGTGGCGCTGCTGGCGTGGTGACAATGTCTTGCTGTTGGTGAAGGGAGGCTGGGAGGGGCACCTTGGCCAGTTGCCCTTAAACCATTAAACCCTATGCGCTAAACCCTATATCTTCGGCACTGCCCCCCTACTAACAGTCGGATAAGTGTTCCCCTGTTATTAAAATGCTCAACCCAGGAAAAGCACAACACCTTGTGAGGGGTTGAAGATTCTCAAATCTAGTCAGATCCCTTTTTGCTGATCTCCAAAACAAGTATCTCAGTTTGTCAGATCCGTCCTGCCCATCTCCAAAACAGGTTTCTGAGTTTGTCAGACCCATCCTGTCCATCTCCAAGACACGCCACCCTCACCCCACCCACCCACCCACCCCACCCACCCCACCCACCCCACCCACCCCACCCTCACCCCACCCACCCACCCACCCACACCCACGCCAGGAGTGACTGTCAAGGCTGCACTTGGCTGACGTTAGGTCTGGAGAATTTTGCCAAAATAGCTGAGAGCAAGGGCTGTCCTGGCCTGCGAGAGCGGCCGCCCCAATTTAGAATCTGCGGCCACCTGCGGCCTATCTGGAAGTACGCGCGCTCCAGTTGTGTGTGTGTGTGTGTGTGCGCACCTGTGTTTTTCATTTTTGTTGTTGTTTTTGCTTTGCTTTGTGCTCTTATTTTCAATCTTGGCATGAATTGTTGTGGATCGCAAATTTTTCCACAAACTTAGAAACTCCGCGCACAACAAACAACACAAAAAATACAACTGGTTCGAAAACCAAACGCACAAATCGGAGCACAAACTTAGAACCCCCCACCACACACCAGAGCACAAACTACAAATCGAGGTCGCGTGTGCTCGTAATAATTGAGTTTTGTTAGAGAAAGGAGTACAAACTAGAGCACCAGAAAAGCACAACTTGATTGAATGCCCAAAACACAAAACGGACCACAAACGTAGAAGCTCCTAGTACGAGCCAGAGCACAACAAAACACAGAACAGGTTTGAACACCAAAAGCAAAATTCTGACTACAAACTCCTGATCACCAGCACAAAAACAAGCACAACTGAAACATAGCAGACCACAGAAGAAACAACAAGCAAATCTAGCTGGAAGATCAAAGCAGGATTTGGTTTTGAAGTATTTGCTAAATTCAGGTTTCAGTTGTGCTTTTGTTATTGCTTCAACAAGGCAAGCAATTGAAAGTCGTCTTCGGAAGGCCCCCAGCCCGGGGACCCTGCACATCTAGCTCGTGTTTTAGTAGTACTGTCGTAATACTTTCGTAGTACTGTTGTAGTGCTGTAGTAGTACAGGTGTAAGCACTGCAGAAGTACTGTAGTAGCTGTAGTAGTATTGGTAGTTCGCAGTAGTTCGTAATACTGCAGCAGTACTGTAGTAGTAAAGGGCGGAAGTCCAGAAGCGTTTGCAGTTGTATGTCCTTCTTTTGGCCCGTGACAGGACGCAACTAACGATTCCATTTCCTGTGATTCATGAGAACAGTACGCGGCAAGAGGGAACGCCTGAGAACGACAGAACTCTCAAAAGCCCTACGTCCGGGAGCGCCCACCTTACACCCTCAACCCCCTCCATGCACATGGGAGTTTCCGAAATTTTAGGGGGTGCCTTATTCTGTGGTCCTTATATATAATAAGGATCCGACTATTTGGGGGTACGATATAAGCGTCCCCTTTTTTCGGAAACTCCCACATTATGGCATTTTGGGTTTAGACTTCTAAGCAGTCTTGTCGCTGGAGCTGTATCCTGACAGAGCGGCTTGATGCGAGGCTATCGCGTGTGTGCGGGAGACGGAGGGGTATACTGGTAGTGCATAGAAGCTTGAACCCCAAACTTCAAGCCTTGCCCCCGAAACCCGAGACCCTACCCTAGACCTTACCGTGAATCCCGATACCCTACCCTTTAGGCTTTTCTCCAGACTTTAATGCTAAGCCCGAATACCGGGCTACCGTGCTCAAAGCTTAAACTATAGTCTCCTTAGGAATTATGTTCTATGTTTGTTCATATAAAACCCAAGGGAATATTAAACAGAATATGTACATTGTGGTTAGAAGGGGGGTATAGTAAAGCCTCCGCCCTAACGCATGCACCGCAACCCCACAACCTTTGCGACTGAGGCTCCGGAACACATGGGCGCCCGGTAAGACTTTCAGCTGCTTGTCATGTCCATTCTATTCTTGGCTTTCTGTTCGATTCTGCGGGGTGATTCGGGGTTCAGGGCTTGAGGGCTTGAGGGCTTTAGGGTGTCAGGGTTTATTTAGGGCTTTGGAACTCTAAACCTGTTGCAAAACCCAAGCTCTCATGTCTGTCTAATCTTCTTGCTGGATTCTTCCCCCCCTTCCAAAAAAAACACTAAACCCTTTTCTATGTCCAAACCGAGACCCTAAATTCTGAACTGAACCGTAAGGCCAATTGTACTTGGACGTTCATGTTTCATGGGTGGCCATAAGTAGGGTTATAAGTAGGCTAACTATACCTATAACTCATGTTAGGGGACATACCCTACTTATAACTACCCGCGAACCTCCAAGTTTTCTAACAAGCGGAAACCCTCTGTCCCCGCCTTGCCGTTCGAGGCCCGGACCATCTCGCCTTTGCAGCCCGTGGCTTTGGGCGAGTTTATGGGCTGTGGGTGTAGGGTTTACGGCTTGGGGTTTGGGGTTTAGGGTTTATGGGATTTGGGTTTAGGGTTTAGGGTTTATGGGATTTGGGTTTAGGGTTTGGGGTTCGGGGTTTAGGGTTCATGCAATTTGGATTTAGGGTTTACGGGATTTGGGTTTAGGGTTTGCCGACGAGAAGACCAGCGGATCCAAGTGCCAAGAACTTTACAGCAGTTAACAACCCCTGAGTTTGGGGCTTTGGGTTCAAACCTTCAAAACCTTACAAATAAAGCCCTAAACCCTAAACCCTAAGCCCCAAACCCTAAACCCTAAACCCAAGCTTCCTCAAGAGCCAGGCAATTTTGTGGGCATCACCATTGTGTTCTTCTTGGCTATCAGGCGCCTTTGGAGGGTTTCGGTATAGGGGTTTCATTGCTGCTTGTCTTAGGTTTGAGGTTTGGCCGTATGGTTTCAGCCTAAACCCAAACCCTTATCCGTAAACCCTAAACTCTAAACCCTAAGCCCTAAACACGAAAACCCTAATCCTTAAACCCTAAGCCCTAAACCCTAACTACGACTCCAGCCCGGCATGTGCCCTTTCCCCCTGGGCCTTTGGTGCGTCGGTTTCGGTGAGGAATTCAAAATCCTGGGGCAGTTATAAGTAGGGTTATAACGAGGGTAACTCTACTTAGAACCCTAATTAGGGGACTTATAACCCAACCTATAACTACCAATGAACCTCCAAGTGGGCCCCGTGCCCAATCTATCCACCTCCGACTCTGACTGTGAATCAACTTCCCGAATTTTCAGGGTGGTGATTGTTCGCAGCATTTCCTTCAGTGATAGTCCAGGTTTGATAGCGGAATGTCTTACGCCTCTGATCGCCATCACCATCACCATCATCATCATCATGCTCATCCTCTGCCAGATCTTCCTGTCCATCGCCTCCATCTCCATCATGGTCCAGCATCAAAATCATCATTGGTTCATCATGACTGGCATCATCAGAGCCACATGAACAGCAGCACCTTTTGCGGCTTTCATTGTCACAACCAGAATTCGCAGTGGCAAAATCATGAGCAGAGCAACATTGAGCCTGGAATCCACTGTTTAACTGGCGTGATCCGAGTTTCGGGCCTTCATGCCCTGCAGAGCCCACGCAATGAACTTGAAAGAAGTTCTGAGGACCGTATAAACCACCCTTGCCCCGCAAACGCCAATGCCCTGTCACGGTTTCGGGTTTAGGGTTCAGGGCTTAACTTACCTTTAGTTAGTAGGGAATTGAAGAATGGTACTAATAGTAGTTATAATCGTACCCCACTCCTCTATTCCCGACTAACCAAAGGTAAGTTAAAGCGACCCGGAACCCTCAACCCAAATATAGTACCCCAAATAATAGGCTCCTTATTATAAGGACCCCAAAATAAGGTACCCCTATTTTCGGAAACTCCCATATTGGACCCCGAATGTCCTCGAAGTCAGGATGAATGGCTACGTTTTCAAGAGCTACGATCCGACAATGCCGGCCACTCTGGCATTGCTCATATCCCAATACCAGAGCACGGCTGCCTGGCTGCACCGGGTTTTGCTATGTTTTGCTTAGGGTTTAGGGTTTAGAGTTTAGGCTTTAGAGTTTAGGGTTCAAGGTTTAGGGTGCACCGGGTTTTGCTTAGGGTGAGATCTCATCCCCAAGGACACATCTCCAACCCTAAACCCTAAACCCCTAAACCCTAAACCCTAAACCCTAAACCCTAAACCCTAAACCCTGTAGTGTTAAGTTTCTGCGCTTCGGGCTTCGAGCTGCCCGACTCTTCAACCCTGAAGCCCTCAGCTCCCAAAAACCCGCAAAATCCTGAACCCTAAGCCCAAAACAACGGAGCCACATGCTGTAAACCTTCGACTCTATATGGGTAGTTGTCAAAATTATGGTCTCTTTCTGGGTACCCTAAATAATGGGTGCCGTTTTTTTTTATAGGGACCCAAAACGTGACCATAATGTTGACAACCAGCCATCTGGACACCACGCAACCGACCTTCTTGGGATTGCAGCAAGGGTTGCTATGAGTGATCTCCTGAACAAGATAAGTCCCCAACGGTTTGTGGGTTTAGGGTTTGGGGGTTCAGGGGTTGGGGCTGGATTCGCAAGTTTGCCCCGGTTGGCTCTGAATCCTAGGCTCTAAGCTTGCTCCTTTTCCTGCTTTCCGATCCTGGCTGAGGCATTTACGAACAACCTCCATCGATTGCTGGGTGTCCTGTTGGGCAAGGCCGGAAGATAACTCCACATCCCAAGTGCCTGAAGAAAGACAAGCCGATCTCGCTGCCGCCGATTTAGGGGTTGAGTGTTTAGGGTTTAGGGTCTCGACCACACGACGTGTCTGAATGTCTGGAGGGTGGCTTTTGTCAACCAACACCCTAAACCCTTAAAGTACCCTGAACCCCTAAACCCCAAACCCCAAAAGAGGTGCTGCCCTTGCTGATCCTCTCTGGGCTTTCGATTTTCGACTGTGGGTCAAAGATGCGCTCGGCGGCTGCCTTTTTGGCCATCTGGCTCTATGCCCGGTGGCCCAGGGGGTCAAGTTTCGGGTTTCTGGTAGCCCAGAACCGTGAGGTTTTCTGCCCAAGGACGTCGCGGCTCGTTGCCTCGGGTTTAGTCCTAGGGTTTAGTAAATGTAGGGTTTAGGATTAGGATTTAGGGTTTGGGCTTTGGGGTTGAGGGTTTAAGGTTTAAAGGGTTTAGGGCTTTAGGTTCGGACATCATCTCAAGCTTAACGATTTGAATTCATGTCCGGGAACAACTCGGGCAATGAGGTCGTAAATCGCAAACTCTCAAAGCCCGAAACCGTAGTTCCCCAATACCTAACCTTTAACCTTTTGGGTTCTTATAGTTTACTAGGAATCGGAAAGTTTAACCTTGTATTTCTGTGGCTTATTGGGGTAGCAGATGCCCAGGTCTGGGTGTTCATGTACATGCGCCTTCGGCCGCCTTGGAGTCATGCAGCGGTCGGAATAGTTGGAGATCGAGCCTCCTTCGAAGAGTATGCCCTTAGTTTCGCCCCTATATAGTTGCACTATAGTTTTCCCCTTTCGTCCCAGTATGCCACTGTTGCCGCCTTGGGGTGCGACCGTTAGGGTTGGGTTTGGGGCTGTGGGGCTTGGCTTGTAGAGGGTAAAGTTGTTCATGGTTCCTCCAAGTTGGGAGAGTCTGGGATTGAGGTTCTAGGGACATGGCTTATGCTCTTCATCGATTTGTGTCTAGTTGCATTTTGGAGAGTTTCCGAGACTTCGGGTGCTTTTAAAGGCCCAGGCCATACTGAAAGCTTGCCTCCAGGTCTAAAGCCACAGGCCTGAACCGTAGACTTCCTAAACCCGTGATGCTGCCTACAAGGCCTAAAGTTTTTCAGGTATTTCACATGAAGCTGTAGACCCCGCAAGCCCAATCCCTTAACCCTACTTGGAGGTTCATGGGTAGTTACAAGTGGGGTTATAAGTCCCCTAATTAGGGTTATATGTATAGTTACCTTATTTATAACCCTACTTATAACTACCCATGAACCTCCAAGTATCCTTTTCCCAGGTATTTCACGTCACAAACATGGAGTCTGGTGGGCTGCTTGATTGCGGGCTTCGGCGTTTATCCGCTGCTCACGACTTGCTCTGCCGGCCGGGCACCCCAAGGGTTTACTTGGAGGTTCAGGGGTTGTTCTAAGCGGGGGTATAAGTCCCCTACATAGAGTTGCAAGCATAGATACCCTATTAATAACTCTACTTATAGCTACCTATGAACCTCCAAGTAGGGCTGGGGTTGTTTTGGGGAGGGGGGGAAGGTTGGATCCTGATCGGGGAGTTTGGCCTGTAAAAAGCTTTGCAGCGCCAGCAACGCTATGAAAGCAAATCGCCTGACACAGGTCGGAGTAACGGTTGATGATATACATCCTGCATTACCCATAATGAGAAATATACCATATTTCCCATAGTTTAGGGTCCTTCAGGTAATGCAGGATTTATATCCTCAACCGTAATCAGCCCCCTGCAGAAGTATAGCATAATACGTACCTCGAAGCATTGCTCTCGGCCCCTATGCTATGTTATGCCGGCAGATTCTTAATGATCCCTGGGGCCCCCCCAGGACCTCACCCGTTGAGCCTGGGTAGCCCAAGCCCGAAACCAATCAACCATGTTGGACGGTGCATTCTGGGCGAACTTGCATCACGAGCACTAAGGGATACTATAGGAGCCTTAGTAATTACCTATACTGTTTTGTGTGTTCCTCATTATACTTATAGTACAACTTCCCCCAAGACTCTATTCTAATTATTAAGGCCCCCATATGATGTTACCAACAGTTAAAAGGTTTAGCCCGTGGCAGCTGTTGCTGTTGCGAGGCTTGAACACAAATCTTTTCAACATGCGATACTGCGAGCAACTGGGCCGTCAACGGTGTGAGGGGGGTGGGAAGGGTTCAGCATTACATGTGGCGTGATTTGGCGGACTGTAGGGTCTTAGGGTGTCAACAGGTTGGGATGCTTAAGCTAGTTTCTGACAGGTTGTATGTACGGCGTCTCCGAGTCTGTATTGGGCTCAAGGTATAGGGTTGGTTTACTTCAACTATACCTGAAAACCCAATCTCTCATCTTCAACCCTCATCAACATAGAGAGGCCTAAACGAGAGTTGCTCTAAACCGCCGGCTCTTGACCGTAGACTTACAGCGCAGTCTAATACTTCGATGCAGGTTTAGGACCTGCTCCAGAACGCACGCCGCAAGCTCGTGCAAGGGCGAGCGCAAGGGCGATAAGTAGCGCTCACTTGGCTTATCCAGGCTTCAAAGTGGGAATGTGTTTAAAACCGTGTGCACGCAAGAGAGCGCAAGGGCGAAGCACGAGTTACGGGCTGGAGCAAGAATAAAGAACAACCCCCTTAAACTCTGGACGAGCTTTGCATAGTCCAGAAGCCGGAAAATTACCAGTACTATTCCTTAGGTCCTTATCATAACTACTATACTTTAGATTTCACCAAAACCCTATTCTGACTCTTACGGCCCCTATGTCACAGAACCCTTCTAGAACGCCTTGACGGAAACGTATTCCAATTCTTAGAGGCCCACTAATATTTCGGGCCCCAACCTGTAGCCGTAAACTCCCCAAACCTCAAGTTCTTCCCTCAACCCTAAACCCTAAACCCTAAACCCTAAACCCTCAACCCTAAACCCTAAACCCTAAACCCTAAACCCTCAACCCTAAACCCTAAACCCTAAACCTCAAATTCTTCCCTCAACCCTAAACCGCTGGACCTCTACCTCTACAAAAACCCTTGGACCCTAACCCCTAAGCCCTTGACAAGAGATCCTGAACCCTTCGACCCCTGAAACCCTCAACTCTCAACCCTAAACCCTAAATTCTAAACCCTAAATCCTAAACCCACAACCCTACTTGGAGGTTCATGGGTAGTTATAAGTGGGGTTTTTTGTGGGGTAACTATACTTATAACTCATACTCGGGGACTTATCACCCTACTTATAACCACCCATGAACCTCCAAGTAGACTCTAAACCCTATACCCTTATAGAATCCCTATAGATCCCTTTAAAGGGTCCCCCTTTAAGGGTACCCCTTTTCCCCTTTGGATTCAGAGTTCGCAGCCTCAGTCGGCTCAGGCTCGGGCAGATCACCATGGCCTTGGCAGTGCAGCTGCTCCCTGCAAGCACTGCTGGGTTTAGGGTTTAGGGTGTAGGGGTTTAGGGTTTAGGGGTTTAGGGTTTCTGCTGACTTGGGGTTTAGGGTTTAGGCATTGGGGTTTTGGGTGTAGGGCAAAGATCCCTTGTTATAGAGCCCTTAAAGGAGCCATGAAGCTCCCTCCAAGCACTGCTAAGTTTAGGGTTTAGGGGTTTAGGCATTGAGGTTTTGGCGGTTTAGGCATCAGGGTTTAGGGTTTAGGCATTGGGGTTTTGGCGGTTTAGGGTGTAGGGTTAGCAAAGATCCCTTGTTACTGCTGTCTTGGGGTTTAGGGTTTAGGCATCAGGGTTTGGGGTTTAGGCATTCGGGTTTGGGGGTTTAGGGCTCCCTGCAAGCACTAATGCAGATTGGATATTTCAATATATTTTTAACAAAAAGATGGAAAGAAAATAATAGTGAGAATAATGACAGTAGTAATAATACTGCTCACTTAGGGTTTAGGGTTTAGGCACTAGGGTTTGGGGGTTTAGGGTTTAAGGTTAGCAAAGATCCCTTATGAAAGAGCCCTTGAAGGAGCCATAAAGGAACCCTTATAGAGCCCGAAATTTTTGACTGGTTTAGGCTTCAGGTTTGTAGGGCTTTGCAGGGTTCTCGAGACGTTGTAGGGTCTTTAGTTTTTTGAGTGGTTTAGGGTTCTGGAGCTCAGCGTTTGCAGGACGATGTGATGATGCACATGGGTCATTTGCGGTGCGGTGCACCTGGGTTGGTTTCAAGTCTCTCGCCGCCCTGCAGCTCAGCTCAAACCGTGAATCCGAAGCCCTGCAGACTCCCCCCCCACCCAGCATCCCGAAAGACGAACCATAGATCAACGGGGAAAAGGAGGGACCCTTAATGGGGACCCCTACCCTATAATGGGCTATATAATGGGTACAATAATGGCTATATCATGGGCTTATTAGGGGTCCCTCCTTTTACCCTTTGAATAGATGCAGGAGGCTTTCGACACCACCGAGGCGAAGCATGAAAGCACCCATAGTGTGAGCATCTGTCAGCACGTGCTTAGGTTTAGGGTTTAGGGGTTAGGGGTTCAGGGGTTTAGGGTTTAGGGGTTTAGGGTTTAGAGTATGCAGTACGGAAGCAGCCGTTTTGCTTTTGTACGATACCGCCCCCTCGTGGGAAAAGCGGCAAAGCAAACAGCCGGTTGAACAACCCTGGAAGACCATGCCATCATGCCTACAGATCTCACCTCACCTGCAAGGCACAATCAATTCCAAACTCAAGCATCTTGAACACAGCTCGAACCAGAAAGCCCTGCACACACCCGCAAGCCCTTAACTCCGAAGCCCTGGACCCTAAGCTTCTACACGCTAAACCCTCAAGCCCTAAACCCTCAAAATCCCATAGCAACGCTACACCCTCAACCCTCAACGCTTAAAGCCTCAAGCCCGACAGCCCCAGCCACATAATATGGAGGCCCCAATAATTTGAATCGGAAATACTATGGCATGAAAAAATACCGAACCCTAAATTTGTTTTGAATGAATGTCTAAGCATTGGGCCCCTATAGTGCCAATAAACAAAGCAGGCTCGTGGACAGTCTGCTCAAGCGAGAGGGCCCAGAAGCTGCAGCCGACGCCCGGCCTGTCAAATCTTACTGATTGGAAGATTCGGGACCCAGAAAGCACATAAGCATAAGCATTTCATGGGGACATCCCTACCTTATTGGGCTTTATTATAAGTGGATTTATATGGGATATCCCTATCCTAACTTTTGCTTATGTGCTTTTTTGGGGGTCTAGAAGAGGGCTTTGGGACCACATAGGGGCTGTAAGGGGATATCAGTATCCTAGGGTTGTGATCAAAACGAGCTTTGCAAGATCGAGGTGGGGTCGTGAAGAGGGTTTTGGGTGTCAGGGGTTGGGTTGATTTGGATAGCGGCAATTGCTACATCGCTTTCTTTCGATACTTAGAGGTTCATGGGTAGTTATAAGTACGGTTATAACTAGGGTAACTATACATGTAACCCTAATTAGGGGACTTATAACCCCACTTGTACCTACCCCTGAACCTCCAAGCATTATAGCCAGAATCTTGAAGGGCTGTCTTCTTCAAGACATATTGCGATTCGATCTTATCTGTGGAAGGAGAACGGAGCGATCCCAAGCCCTGAGCCCTAAACCCTATACCGCAAACCCAAAATCCTAAACCCCTAAACCCTAAACCCTAAATCCCTAAACCCTGAGCCCTAAGCCCAAAACCTTCAACCCTGAGCCCTAAACCCAAAACCTTAAACCCTGAGCCCTAAACCCAAAGCCTTAAACACGAACTGGGGGCTTTCGTCGTGAAGTCAAAAATGCTGAGATCGGGCAACTCGGAATGCTCCTGGACCGGATTTTCCTCGGCTACACCCCGCAAGGGGGAGTCTTGGTCTTCTTTGTTATATGGGAGTTTCCGAAAAGGAGGGGTACCTTATTCTGGGGTCCTAATAATAAGGATCCTACTATTTAGGGTACTATATTAGGGTCCCCTATTTTCGGAAACCCCCATATGGGAGTTTCCGAGAATTGCGGATTAGGGTTTACGGTTTAGTTGTTATACTTGGAGGTTCATGGGACTTAGTAAGTACAGTTATAAGTACGCTAATTGGGATTATAAGTACATATAAGTGTAGCTACTTGAAAAAATCACCCCAGTGAGTAAGTCCCATGAACTTCAAAGTATGGGAGTTTCCGACAATTAGGGGACCCTAATATAGTACCCAAAATGGTAGGATCCTTATTATAAGGACTCCAAAGCAAGATGCCCCGAATTTTCGGAAACCCTAATATATACTTAGAGCTGGGTTTCGGCCTGAGGAATTGACATTCAAGCAGGGTTCTAGGGCATGATTCTGTCTTACAGATATAATCGGAACTTGGAGGAAATATTCGAAGGGAGGCCTTGGGGGTTATGATCATGTTGTACTAGTTCTGTTTGTAATCGGAACCCGTTGCGAGTAGCATTACTGTTGATTGTTCAGGTTCGGCATTCTTCCTCTTGCTGTTGCTTCTCCCACGGCTTGTGCTCACTGTCGTCGTTTCTGGTCTTAACGTCGGAATTGACGTTATAGCATACCCAAAACCTGCTACTGATCATTCGGTCCCCCGTAGTTTTCGCCTGAATTGGTGTTCGCTACTCCTTTACGGCTCTTCCCTTCTCATCGCAGCGAATATTGTTCGCGAGGGGACAAGACGTGAAGGCCACAGGACGTAAACTCCAAAAACCCACCAGTCCCACACTAAGGCCATCAACTGCTTGGAGCTTGCTGTCAAGCTTTATTGTGTTCCCGAGATCCTCACTCCCAATCCCCTAACCCCGACCTCCACTACATACCATTTTTTATAAGGGTTCCTTGTTTTGATTTGTAGTAAAAATGGGCCCCCAAACCCTGTTCGAATTATTAAGGCCCCGACATATACCCTTATAGATCCCATTTTGTAACCCTTATAGACCCCTTGAGGAGCCCTTGTATAGACCCCTCTTAAGGAGCCCTATTCTAATAATTCGGGCTCGGGGGATCCTTACCCCTAAACCTTAAACCCCTTAAACCCCTAAAAACCCTGTACCCCCTTGGTCTGAACCCTAAACCCTAGGCCCTGGTAGAGGAATTCTAAAAAAAAAAAAGAGCCCTCAAAAAAAGCACCCTAAGCCCTCTGCCCAGGGAGCCTCCAAGCGTCCCAGAGCCGCCCAGGTGGGGAGAAAAGGAAATCCGGCTTACAAGCGGTCCTGGGGAGCTCCGGCCACACTAGTATAGTCTCCTTAGGAAATAGTGTTTATCTTTGTTCATATAAACCCCAAGAGAATATTGAACATAATATTTTTATTATGGTTCTAAGGGGGGTATAGACTACATTACAGTATCATCTATGGCATTACCAATATAGTAGGCAATAGGAAAGTATAGTATGGTATAGTATAGTAGCTTTACTATCCTATACCATATACTACACCATATACTATACTATATATACACTGTACACTATATACAATATACTATATACTATATACTATATACTATGCTATACTATACCATATACTATACCATACCATACTACATTATAGTAGGGACTGTGGAGCTTTTCATTCAGCCCTTGCCAGACGTGGGTCTGCAAGGGCCTGGGTCCCTTCCGCAGGGTTCGGAGCTTGCGGTGTAGGGTTTGGGGGTTTAGAAGTTGGGGGTTTAGGGGTTTAAGGGTTTAGGGTTTTAAGGTTTTAAAGTTTTAGGGTTTTAGGGTTTTAGGGTTTTAGGGTTTTAGGGTTTTAGGGTTTAGGGTTTAGGTTTTTAGGGGTTTTCGGGGTTTTAGGGGTTTTAGGGATTTTAGGGATTCTAGGCAGGGCTTAAGGCTGCTTGTCAAATGGAGGGAATGCCAGTAATCTGAGTGGGTTCTTGTTAAGGAATGTTTCAAGAATAGCGGTCGATGGTAAATACTAGGGTTTCCTTATTATGACTGTAGCTTACATCAGGTTCCTTGACAAGAACCGTGTTGGGCGGAGTGGCATCGATCTTCTGCTATCTTGCCTCTTTCGAAGCTGTTTGCCAAGCTGATTGAATTCGGACGTTGAGCTTAGAAGCCGCATACTCAGGACAGCAGACAGAACCGCACCTGCGAGAATAGCCGCAATGCCCAGAGTGGATATGATTGCAAGCAGAATGCCACAAGCAAAGCAGAATCAATTGTCGCCAGCTCCTCCCACTCAGGAACGACCTTGAAGACTCTTGGAACTCATCAGCAAGACTTGTTCATGCTTTGCCCCCAAAATTCAAGCCCGACTCTAGCATGACTAGCGTCAGGCGCCCAGACATTACCCGCCCTAATAGAAGGGTGCCTGAATATTTCGAGAAGGTCCTTGGGGTACCGTATGCTGTAGCCAAGTTGAGAATACAAGGGGAGTACATATCTATGCACTATTACTGATGATCCAGAGTTCTATGTGAGACATCACGACCTGCCTTACAACCCTGGACCCGACACCCTTAACCCTAAACTCTAAACCCTCAAACGCAGACCCCACTTCTCTCCTGCTTAAGCCACACGTCTGCAAGTCCCGGTAACCCTCGGACCGTTTGTTAAGATGCGGAATGATCCCAAAGCACACGGCCCGTAATCCTCTAAACCCTAAACTTAGGGGTCCCTAAATTTTTTTTTAATTTTTAGATATTATAATCCCTAAGAAACAGCTAAGATTATAATTTTGCTAGGGTTCTAAGTTCAGTATAGGATAAATCGCAGGCTCCAAGGTAACTCGTTCTGACATCGAAACCCCGCCTTTTAAGGCCCAAGCTGTAAACCCCGGTCCAACACAACAAACCTGAATCCTGACCCCCCCAATCGAAAACAGAGACAAAGCCCAAAGCCCTCAAAGCCTAAAGCCTAAACCCCGAGCCCTTAAACCCTAAACCCCTAAACCCCTAAAGCCCCTAAAAACCCTAAACTCCTAATTAAGCCCCTAAGCCCCTAAACCCCTAAACCCCCAAAGTCCCTCCAAAGCAAGGCTTTGCAGAAGGCTTTAAACGAGGCGGATACCTGCATGGCCCGGGCTCGGTCTTTAGTGACCGAGGCGCCCCCGCGGGTTTGGGGGTGAAGGGTCTTGGGGGGGGGGGGGTTTCGGGGTTTAGGCTTGAGGGTGTTGGGTTTTGTTAAGGGTTTAGGCTTCAGGGTTTAGGGTTTTTTGGGGGTATTGGCTTGAGGGTTTAGGGTTTTGTTAAGGGTTTAGGCTTCAGGGTTTAGGGTTTTTTGGGGGTATTGGCTTGAGGGTTTAGGGTTTTGTTAAGGGTTTAGGCTTGAGGGTTTAGGGTTTTTTGGGGGTTAGGCTTGAGGGTTTAGGGTTTTTGGGGTTTAGAGTTTAGGCTTGAGAGTTTAGGGTTTTTCGGGGTGGGCTAAGGGTTTAGGGATTTGGGTTTACGGTGGAGGGGTGGGGTGGGGTGGGCACGGGTTTACAGTTACTGCTTTATTGACTTAACATTGACAACCTAGGGATTCTGCTACTGTCACCGTCATGGCTCTTGGCACCACTGCCTGCGCGACTTCTCTCTGCTGCTACTCCTACTTGTCTTGTGGGTGCGACAATTCCTAAACCCTAAACCCTCAACCCTAAACCAAGCAGGTCATGCGGAGAAGGAGACATTGCACTTACGAAAACACCGCAACACCCTAAATTTTCAAGCCTAAACCCTCAACCCCTGAGCTTAAAACTTCATGTACCATTGCTGTTGCTTGTGGAAGCTTGGAGGCCGATCCGAAGTCGCGAATCGCGGCGGGCCCCCAAACGCCTTTCAAGATCGCGCAGCAGCCTGAGATTGGGGTTTAGGTGTTAGGGTTTAGGAGGTTCTTGCTGAGAGATTTTTTTTATAAGGTGCCATGACAAGGAAACCAAGGACAACCTATTATTTACTTTAAAACCCTAGGCTGGTGACTTAAGTTAAAGTCCTTGAGAAGAAACCAGGAGAAGATACTGTTGATGATATAAATCCTGCATTACCCATTTCCAGGAACATACCAAAATTCCCATAGCTTAGGGTCCTTAAGGTCATGCAGGATTTATATCATCAACCGGATTACGGTTGCAGAGCCAACCGCTGGCTAGGGAACGTGTGCCCCGAACCCTAAGCTCTTCAATCATAGGAGGCCAAAAGGGGTTTCAGCCTATGGGGGTTTAGCAGGGATTAGGGTTCCCATAATAAGGAATCCCTACCCCAAGAATCTTAAACCCCGCTTTTGGCTTCCCATCGTTCAATCCTATTCCCTTTAGTTGTGTGGCGTCTTGTTTAGGCATTGAATCGCTAAAGTTATGCCGCCTCCCTTTTAGAGCAAGACATCCGTAACTTACGGTTTCACTACATGCAGCTTCTTTCGTATTCAGCTCAATCTTGCATTGCCGGTGTTGACAATGTTTTCAACCGAGTCAAAAATACAGTTGCATGCTTTAGACTTTGTAGCGGTTTTATGGGGGCTTTGAAGGCGTTCTCGTACAAGGCAAAATGCAGTGAAGCTAAGAAGTTAAAATATCCGAGGGGGCGGCGTCAAAGTCGCCGAATTCGGAAAGGCAATCGTGGGTTTCGGGTTTAGGGGTTTAGGGCTTGGGGGTCAGGGTTTGGGGTTCAGGGTTTCGGGTGGTGCGACAAGGCTCTACCGCGACTCGCTGGACATCCTGCAGAACTGCATGAACAACCTGACCCTGTTCCTGATGGCTTCGAAGACCTGGGCAGAGACGCTTTTCTGGAAACTTAAGCTCTAAACCCCGAGCCCTACGCCCTCAACCACAAGGGCTGAGGTTTGGTGACTCAGATCTGAGAATGTGGCGTTTGTCAGGGGTGCGTTGATATGGCCCTTAGCCCAAAACCCTGATCCCGAAACCCTAAAGCCGCAAAGCCTCAAACCCTCCGGGAATTTCCCTAGATACGCGACGCCCAGCATGAAGGGCCGGGCTCAACCCTAAACTCTAAATCCTAAACACGACACCCTAATCCCTGAAGTTACAACCCTACCCTAAACCTTTTCCCCTAAGTCCGACACCCTTTCAACCCCAAGCCCCCTTCAAAAAGACCCTAACCCCCAAGGACCCTAAACTCCGAACCCGAAACCCTAAGCCCTAAACCGATAGTTCCTGGGCTTTCGAATGTGTATGCAGTCGGAAAAGAGCCCATAAAATGAAAAGTAAAAGACACAAAGAAACACCGATGGTTCCTTCTTACCCCTAAGCCCTAAACCTTGAACCCGAAACCCTGTGCCCTAAACCGATGGTTCCTGAAGTCCAGGACTGAGTATGCAATCGGAAAAAGAGCCCTAAAAACAAAAACAAACACAAACAGCACCCCCTCCTCTCAAGATATGATTTAAAAAGAGAACCCAATTGAGTTCACGCATTGGGGCTACAACACCTGTGGAAGTAGCACGAACAAAGAACGAACTGCGCTACAACAGCACCCCTGTGGTTTCTTCTTGGGTCCAGGAATGAGTCCGTGCGCGACATCGAAGATGAGGCCGAGAACCCAAGCATGGCGATGGACTCAGCCGCCGAGCTGAAAAGCGGGGGGCGGGGGGGGGGATTTAGGGTTTAAGGTTTAGGGTTTGGGGTTTAGGGTTTAGGGTTCGTCGTTTTGATGGTTCTTCACAGACTCCTCAAGGGTGGCTTTATCTCGCGTGCGTGGCTTTTCTACACGTCGATCAGAGTCCACCGAGGTTCAGGGGTTTAGGGGTGTCAAGGGTTTAGGGTTGAAGGTATTAGGTTTAGGGTGGATTAAGTGCCAGACGGTGCAATTCGGGGGGCCTGAACGATCGGAAAAATCTGTAATTCTTGGGGGGGTTCCTTCGTAGTAGAGTAGGTAGCGTTTGGGATCTTAGGGTGGACATCCCAAGCAGCCTTGGGGTTGACAGAGATCTTAAGATAAGTTATCCTAGGGTGCGGTATGCCAGAATTACACCTAGCTGGGCAAGGTATCATCTTACAAAAAAACTTCTATGGGTTTTTGTTCAAGCGTCTAGGGCTCACACCAGGGCGGGGCATGCATAGATAACAGCAAGTGGAATGCATCAATTGGGAGCCACAAAACCTATCGTACACCCTGATCCGTAATATCGGGTCCGAAATAATTACCATGTTATTCCTTAGGGTTCCTTACTATAATTATACAAAAATGGAGCCCCACAACCTATTCTAGTTATTAAGGCCCCTACAGTAGACCCCAACCCTCCTCCAAGCAAGCCTTTACTTACCTTTGGTTAGTAAGGAATGGAAGAATGGTAGTAATAGTAGGTATAATTGTACCCCATTCCTCCATTCCCTACTAACCAAAGGTAAGCTTAAGCCCAAGCCGGTCCACTTCTCAGGAGTATCCCTCCTCTGCGGGACCTCCTTCCGTCCTAGAGGCGGAGCAAGCCTCGCCACATTCGTTTCAGGGTTCGTGGCTTGGGGTTTAGGGGTTTAGGGCTGAGGGGTCAGGGTTTAGGGTTTAGGGGGGTTGAGGGTTCAGGGATTCAGGGTTTGTGGCTTGGGGTTGAGGGTGTTAAATCTGGGCTTCTGCGCAGAAAATTTCCATCTTACACCCGAAGCCTGCAATGTTTTCAGGCTTTGGGGGTTGTTCTTTCGCTGGGAGCTTCCTCCCCGAAGCAGAGCCTTAACCACACCTGGAAACCAAACTGTGCAGTAATGCGCCGAGCAGTATGAGTATGGTTACAGTGTTGTCATTTGTTCTCATACATGAGGTCCAAAAGCTGACCGGAAATTCTCAGTTTCTGGAACCGTCAAGAGTAAACAACCCAATCTTCTTTTCTGGGGTGTAAAAACGATCAAGCCAAGGGCACAAATCACGCAGCTCTTTTCAGCACGCGATCTTTACCGAAACTAGTTTCGCCGTCGAGCGGCTTGTTCAATCGGATTCGGTGCTGTACGGCTGCCATATGCAAGCGCATGTCACGAGGCTTGCATTCGAACTGCGGCTCTGTTTTGAATTTAAAATTCGAACTGCGGCTCTGTTTTGAATTGTTCTTCTATGCGAGATCTTTGCACGCGCATACGTGGCAATTTTGTGCATTGTTACACAGATTTCCAAGTGCCTCCGTTTGTTATGTGGTACTTGAACAAAGGTGGTAAATTCGTTCCAGACGCATCACGATGCTCTTTGTCAGAAGTGTTCTGCAGCTTGGATGGCCTTGTGACAAGACTTCGATCGGCCAAAACTTGCTGCAACAGGGAAATCGCCGCAAGGTTTGGCAGACGAGTCAAGCGAGACCTCATCGCAAACTTCCCGGACATGCCCATCAAGAAGAATCTTGGATGGCTCGACGGTAAGGCTAGACAGTGGCTCAAGCAGAACAAAAACCATATTGTCATCGTGGACGCGGACAAAAGTCTAGGAGACGTTATCATGCCAAGAGTATGGGTGGAGGACGAAATACAACGTCTTCTCAGCACAGGTTTTCGCAAATTGGATCGTTCTCAATATGCAACTCAGGCTTTTTCAGCAAGATGCGCTTTAGAAAGTTTGACCGCCGGAGCACAAAACGATGGACTCCTACATCAGCGTGACGCTCAGAAGATCATCAAAGCCGCGTTTACCGCAGGCGAGGGCAGTTTCAGACTGAGAGCGAAGATCCACAAATCTCCGGTTGTAGGGCGTCCGATTGCAAATCTGTCAAACAGCTGGTTAACGCCAGCTTGTATGTTCCTATGCCGCATGCTCTTGCCAGTTCAACGAAACCTTCGATTCGCAGTGGACAGCAGCGCAGTCTTTTTGGAGAAGATGCCCAAAACGGTTCCTCCAGGTTTTGAGGTCGCAACGATTGACATCAAGAATCTCTACCCCAGCATAGACACGGAGCACCTCGTTTCTTCAGTTCAGCATGCAATCTACGTACATTATGGACAGTCGCCCAAAGCTCTATACACCTGTCGGCTCTTGGAGGTTGTGCTCAGAAACCAATACATCGTTCATCGCGGAGAATGCTACCAAGCTTGGGGATTAGCGACGGGCATCCCTCCAGGTGTATTTCTAGCAAACCTGTATGTGGCTCAGGTGGATGAGATGATTAATCAGATGCATGGTCCCACCATCGCGTTCTATGCTCGTTTGGTAGACGACTCAGTGGTCTGTTCCTCCGACATTGAGCTCATTCAATCATCACAGAACTCATGGAGGCCAGAACTAGTTTGGGAAATCTCCAGTAGAGGCGGACGCATAGAAAGGGGAGAACCTCCAGTGGCATTCCTTGACGTGGAGTTGACCAACGACAGTGGCCAGATGAAGTCGCAAACGCACCGCAAGAAACTCAACAGCTTTCTGTATGTTCCCGGAGCAAGTTGCCATCCCTCTTCAGTCTTTGACAGCATCATCCGAAGCGAATGCCACCGTTTGAGACGCACCAATCAAAGCGGCCATGATCTCATGCGGCATCTTCGTTTCTTTACATACAGAATGTCACTAAGGGGGCATTCATACCAAACGACGTGGAACAAGATCTTGAAGCAGTTGAGTACCATGGAGTCTTCAACAAACAGACGATTTCGCAGTGCCCGCGACAAGAGTTCCCAGTTCTATGCCTTCGTGAAGTACAGTCGCACCGTTCCCGCTAAAGTCATCAAGAATGCTCTGAAGAAGCACTCTTTTGATCTACAATCAGGGTTTCGTGAGCCGATATGTGTTAGTTTGGCTTACAGTGTACAGAAAAACTTATTCAGTCAACATTTCGCACAAAACTGGCACACGCCAGTCACGTGCCCGAATTAGTTTGAACATATTCGCATCTTCACACAGACGTTTGAGGCGGGTGGGAGGGTCTGTGTTTTAAATTCAAAACAGAGCCGCAGTTCGAATTTTAAATTCAAAACAGACCCACAGGGGTGTAGGGTGGAAATGGGGTAAAAGGTTCGCATGTCGCAGTCGATGCTGCTTTGACGTTGAGGGTTTGGGATTTAGGCTTTAGTGGGCTGCTCCTAAAAGGCGGTTCTTGAACCTAACTGCCAACGCCCATGTAGGAGTTTCCGAAAATAGGGGACCCTAGTATAGTACACTAAATAATGGGATCCGTATTATGAGGACCCCACAATAAGGTACCCCGGATTTCGGAAACTCCAAACCCTTCTTAAGCCGCCCTTTAAAGGAACCCTTATAGTACCCTTATAGTAACCCTTTAAAAGAGCCCTAAGGTACTCCTAATTTTTGGAAACTCCCAACCCTTCTTAAGCCCTTTAAAGGAACCCTTATAGTACCCTTACGGTGACCCTTCAAGGGAATCCTAAGGTACCCTTAATTTTCGGAAACTCCCCTGTGAACTCCAGGGAATGGCCATTGCCAGGTGCTAACTTCGAGCGCTCTTGTGCAATCCTGGGAGGTCCGCAACCGAGAAAATCGGGGCCTTAATTAACTGTGCTATTTTTGGGGGTTTCCTTATTATAAGTGTAGTATAATGGGCCCAAAACCCTATTCTACTCATTAAGGCCCCAGCATGTCGGGGTTTGGGGTTTAGGGGCTTTAGGGTCTGGGAGTTCAGGGATTTCAGGTTTGGGGGTTTCGGGCTTAGGATACTTACATTTTTGAAGGACCATGGGCGCCTTAATTAGAAGAAAGGGTTGGCATGAGGGTCACTACGTGGAGGTTCATGGGTAGTTATAAGTGGGGTTATAAGTCCTCTAACTAGGGTTATGTATATGTATAGTTACACTATTTATAACCCTACTTATAACTACCCATGAATCTCCAAGTACGAGGGTTCTAGAAGGGGTTTAGCGGGGTCATGAGTAAGTTTTAATCTTGTTCCATAGGGTTCCGTCTGAGCTATCATGGTGCTCGTGTTAGATATCCCGAACCACTGTTCTCGTTTATGCGCCTCCCATAGAACTTATAGGCTAGGCATTGTGTGTGCGTGTGTGTGTGTGTTTGGTATGCGGGCCTAGTCAGACTATAATTACCTGGATTCTGTGAGTGTGTCATGAGGCGGAGCGGGCTGCAGAGTGCATGTCATGGTAATTACCCTAGACCCTAAACTCGCAGAAACGCAACCCTAAGGCCTTATAAATGAGGGTTTAAGAGGTTACGGCATTTTGGATGGGTTCTCGCTGAGGAGTGCAGTAGAGGTTGAGACGATAGGAGCTTCGGAATCGCGGCTGCACGCTTTGGTTCAGAGGGTTAAAATTACTCGGAGGTTCATGGGTAGCTATAAGTAGGGAAGTAAGTCCCCGAATATGAGTTATAAGTATAGTTATCCTACTTGTAACCCCACTTATATCTACCCGTGAACCTCCAAGTAGGGGTCTAAGAAATCAGCACTACTATTCTCGGGCTGCCCTTTACTAAGGGAGAGCTCCAAGTCATGGACTTCGGGTTCAGGGCGGAAGCTTGAATAAAAGGTCACGGTTGATAATATAATTCCTGCATTACCTTAAGGACCCTAAACTGTGGGAATTATGGATATTCCTCATTAGGGGTAATGCAGGATTTATATCATCAGCCGTAGTAACAACAGCAGGGCTGTTGGGCGTGCTAACGTATAATGCAAATCTTCACAAGCAATCCCCACCCCCGAGGATCCCGATCTCTGGTTTCTTGTAGAAGCCTGGATAGTGCCTTCTTAGGATTCCTGGTGATATTTCCAGTACGGCAGACCCCCAAACCCTTATTCTCAGGGCTTACCTGACCCAGCACCTACAGCCTCTGGGTGTGGTGAGGGTTCAGGCTTCAGTAGGGTTGCTTTGGCAGCCCTGAGCCATACAAAACTAGTCGAACTCTATCGGAAATGAAGGCCCTAAAGGCCCTAGACCCCAAACCCTCAACCCGTAACCCCAGAGCTGTAAACTTACCTTTGGTTAGTAGGGAATGGAGGAACGGGGTACAATTATAACTACTATTACTACCATTCTTCCATTCCCTACTAACCAAAGGTAAGTAAATCGGCTGGTCCTTCGCAGGAGAAGCTCCAGAATCATGCGCAGATCATCTCAGAAGCTTTGCAGGTCCCGGTGTTTCTTTGAGGATGTGTTGTCAGGCTTGCGATAAGGGTTACAACACAGGTCTCGGGTTTCGGGTTTAGAGCTCTTCTTAGAGTTTAGGGCTTAGGTTTTTGATGCGTTTATGGCTGGGGAGGTTTTCTTGAGGGTTCTGTAAGGCTTCCTGAAAGGATTCCTTCCACGATGGCAGTTTGCAGCAAGTGTCACCATAGGGTTCAGGGTTTGGGACTGAGGATCTGCTTGTTATTCATTTGTTGACTGCTGTGCTGGGGTTTTGTTGAGGGGTTTGGGGTGAGGATTCAGGCAGTAGGAGCTTGGTACGCAATCAAGGGGTTGAATGTGTAGAGTTTCTGAGTTCAAGTTGCTTCGGGCTGTTTGCGAGTGACCAGTGAAATCGCTAACCCCTGTAGTGAACCCCGCAATTC